AATGGTTAAATAAGATCTCTCAGATTGTTCTTGCATTATGTCATGAAGAGAAGAGAAATGAAAAACAACAGAGCCCCAGAACAAGATGACATTGTGATTGAAAGTATTACAACGGGAAGAAAAATTTATTTATGCTCTGAAAGTTCTATTTAAAAACTTTAAAAATCTCAATAACTTAATATTTCTACTACTTCTATTTGTAATAACGTTCTCCGCTGTTTTCCGACTTCCAATGGCCACTTAGACCGGTTGTTCCAGAGGTCTTCTTCTATGGAACTCTCTCTCAGTTCTTTATTTATTCCTTCGATCAAACTTTTTCTCGATCTACCGCGTTTTCTCTTTCCTTCTGGTTGCCATTTTAATATTTCTTTTGGAATTTGTTGTTCATCCATTCTTTGTATGTTTCCGAACCAGATAAGTTATTTTGTTGTTAGGTCATCTGTGATTGTTCGTTTGATTCCCATTATTTCTCTAATGTGTTCGTTGGTAATCCTTTCACTTCTAGATCTTCCTGCGGCTCTTCTCCAAAAATCTATTTCCGTCGTTTTCAGCGTTGACAGTGTTCTTTCTTTCAGTGGCATTACCTCACAGCTGTATAAAGTAATTCTTTTAACTATAGTCTCATATATCCTCTTTTTATTTTCTTTGCTGATGGATTGGTCCCATAAAATGCTGTTTAACATTGTGGTGGCTTTTCTCCCTGACGTATTTCTCTCTCTTATGGCTTTGTCTAATGTTCCATCTTGTGATATAGTGAGACCTAGATATTTGTGGTCACAGCAGTGCTTTATCGTAGTGTTATTGTCTAATATGAGATCTTTTTGTTCTGCTCCAATGCACAGGTATTCGGTTTTCTTTTTATTTACTTCTAGACCCCATATATCATACTCATACTACTTCAATTAATTTTCGTTCATATAGTTTAAATCTTCATAATCTTGAGCCATTATTACTTGATCGTCTGCTAACGTTCTGAAGTTGAACGTATATACCATAGTGTTTGGTGAGCGGTATCCCCATTGTCCTGCATTTTTGTTTCCATCTTTTTAAAGCACTTTCGAAGCTGCTTTTATCTTTGTTATTGGTTGGTTGTATAGCACTTTGACGGCTTTTATTAATTCTATATTAATATTCGTGCTTTCCATTGATTGCCACAGCTTCTTCAGTGGAACGCTGTCGTAGGCTTTCCGTAGGTCGACGAACAACATATGAATCTCTTGATTCCTTGCCATCTTTTTTTTTCTATTATCTGGGTTAAAGAGAAAATGTGGTCAATAGTGGATCGACCCGTACGAAATCCTGCTTGTTTTTCTGCTTAATCTAAGCATTCTCTCTCGATTCGGTTCTTTAACACTTTTCCATATATTTGACTCATAGATCCGGTTACAGCTATTCCTCGGTAATTTTCACAATTATTTTTATCACCCTTTTTATGTATAGTACTGAGGTATGATATCTTCCATTCCATAGGGATTTCGCTTCTAGGGAAGACATTCGTACAATTTGTTCTTTTCGACTTAATATTCCAATGAATTATTAGTTCATCATTCTCTTTGCCTTTATCCCTATTCGGGGACGGCTCCTCTCATTACATTTCTCCATAAGTTTCTATCTTGGGTATATCAATATTGATCCTCTTTTACCGACATGTCCTGCCTAAGCATCTCCCTCAGGTCTTCTTCGGTCTTGCACTGTAACGAAAAAGCTGACAAGAGTAAAACGTTATGAAGACCACGTTGCTCACTTCGGAAGCTTCATTGGAAGTAAGTAAGGATGTAGTTAAAAGAAAAATGGCAGACGAATCTTAATTAATAGATAACAGGTAGATAAATAAAAGGTAGATAATAAGACGGTAATTTGACAATAGGAAATAAATATAGCTAAACTGCAAAAATTAGGCGTTAATAAGTCTTAACTTATAGAGGGACTCGAGATTAAATAAATTAAATATAAGATCAACATTTTTATCTGTAAGCTGAAATAAAAATTATATCTTCAATAAAATACGTTGAAAAAGTTATATCGTCAATAAAATATTATTTAAATAAAATAATAAGTCTTAAAAATACGTTCTTCTTGATATATTCTTCTTGACGTCCCTCTGTTGCTAAGCCGAATGTTGGTTTTCTTCCTCTCGGACCTTGAATTTTTCTGTCTTGGACTCCTTGGCTTCTTCTTCTGTAGGTACTTGTTTTTGGCATCGTACCTACTTTTTTGATTAGTTGTCTTTGACAACCACCCGGCTAGATCCCATGGTTGATCAGTCTATGAGTTGTCCTGAACATCCTTTGAATCCGATTTTTCACGGGGATCTTAAGGAGTCTTCTTGTGGCTTGGTGGAAGAAGTATCTTGTCCTTTTCTCAGCCACATCCAATGGAACTTCAATGGAACTCCAAACTGGGACAGTTTACAGAATAACCGATCTAACGTAGACCTAGTATAATTGGATCTTCTTGTCCTTCGATAGTGGACTGGACCTAAAAATATAAGGAAGTATTAGTTTTTCAGCAGCGTTTGCATTTGTCTTGGTTTTTTGTGTATGTAACTTAAAGTTAGTCTTCTCTCCAGGTGGACTCCTAGGTATTTGACTGATTCTTCTGATTAGATCCTGTTTCCTCCTACTGTTATTTCTACCACTGGTGGACTGGTTTCTTGGGTGAACTTAATGAATTGTGGCTTCTCTGCGTTGATTTTGATCTTTCCTTTGGTGTATTCCGTGATTTTTCCGAGGTGATTTTCTATGTTTTGGACTATTCTTCTATTGTCCTTTCCTATTGCATATATCGCCGTACCATCTGCGTAAAGGGCAAGATGTTCTTGGATGTGTTGGTAAGTCTGAAACAAAAACGTTATATAAAATGGGGCGAGAGAATACTGCCCTGACGAGTCCCTTCTTGAATTTCTTGGAGCGTAGATATATTTTGGTCAGCTGAAATTTGAAATGATCTGTTAGTTAGATATGTATCACAAATATTAACTAAACAATGGGGCAATCTAGCTCTGTCCATCTTGCATGTTAGCGCCTTCTTCCAGACCGTATCATATACATTCTAGATGTTTAGGAAGGCCATTCCTGTTTTCTGTCTTTTGTTGAATTTTATCTTCGTGTCGCTGATGACTTCTGCTACCTGGAGTTCGCAGTTTATTCCTCTTCTGAATCCGAATTGGTTCTCCTCAATGATTCGTCTTCTTTACGCGTGTTTAATCAGTGTTCTATAAATGATTTTTTAACTACTTTTCCTAGTGTTTCCAGTAGTGATATTAGCCTGTAGCTTTCTGGTCTTCTTTCATATTTTTTTGGTTTTCGTAGAGGGATAATCTTAGCATATTTCCAGTTACTTGGAAATTATCCTTTTTCCAAGCAGTACTTAAAGATATAGTACAGCTGCACTATAACCTTCTTTGAAAGTTCCTTGAGGGCCATGTTGTGTATCCCTTCTGATCCTGGATCTCTGCTTCCTTTTAATCTTCTTACGATTTTGGGGACTTCTGTTGGATTGGTGTAGTCCTCTTCCTCTACTCGTTTCTTCTTTTAATCTTTTTGTATTCTGTGTTAACTTCCTCTATGGTTCTTGCATTTGACATGTTTTGATTTTATCTATATGTTGCTACCAATCTTTTAGCGATTGCTTTTACTGTTTCTTGTTTCGAAGTGTGTTCCCTCGTCGTCTATGATTTGGGGCATCTTTTGTTTTCCTTGTCGTTTGATTTTCAGCATTTTTCACACGCAACCATGCTTTTCTTCAGCTTTTCTGATGTTGTACCATTTGTTTTCTGTAAGACTTCTAAGTGTTACACTTATTTCTTCGGAAAGTTTGTCTCCGTAGTCCTTGAATTCCTGAAATTCTTTTAGGTAGAGAGCAGTTCCTAGTATGATGATTTAGTGCCCATTTCATGCACCTTCCTAGTTCTGAAACAGTTCCTAGCGGAATGTCCAAATGCCTGGACTGCGTGGCTCTGCTTGGTTTAGAGTACGTGTCCCATTTTACTCTTACGTTTTGGATACCGTTGATCTTCTTTACTTCTTTCATGTTCTGTTACTTGTCGACCTATAATAAATAAGCTTTCCTGATGATGTGCCATTTGTTTTCTGTAAGTCTTCTGAGTCTTACCTACTCTTATTTTTTCGGAAAGTTGGTCTTCGTAGTCCTTGAATTCCTGAAACTCCTTTAGGTAGAGAACAGTTCCTAGTATGATGATTTAGTGCCCATTACATGCACCTTTGAGTTCTGAAATAGTTCCTAGCGGAATGTCCAAAAGCCTGGACTGCGTGGCTCTGCTTGGTTTAGAGTACGTGTCCCATTTTACTCTTACGTTTTGGATACCGTTGATCTTCTTTACTTCTTTCAAGTTCTGTTACTTGTCGACCTATAATAAATAAGAGCTGTTGTCCTTGCCTAGTGGTCTGGTTTTCGTCTCTGTACTTTTTGCAATTATTCCCTAGTTTTTCAATTCTTCTTCCATGTCGTCTAAATTCATGTCTATTCATGCTAAATAGCATTTCGTTAATATTGTGGTTCTTTCTCATTTTCAAGAACTTTAAGGATATCCTGAGTTAGCGATAAATAATAGAGGTAACAGAAAATATACATCTTAAGCTGACTCCCTATACTATAATTTCGACTTATTTCACGCCCAACATTTTACTGTTGCATGCTGATTTTAATATAGATTTGATAGCAATGTTGATGTTAAACTATATTATTGATTTGATATTAATATAAAAAATAGAAAGCAATATGAAAAATCATGTAGTTTTTAATATACTTCTCTTATAATAAAAATATGTTCTTTTTTTTAGAGTGAAAATTAATTTGAAGGAATTTTAAAAGTTATTTAAAATTAATGAAACTGGTTGCGGCCTCTCTTTCAATATACCAGTAGGTACTATTGAATAAAGTTTTAGAAAAAGATCTCTACTTGCACATCAACACACTTCACACTTGACAAATGACAATTACGACATAACCTAAAAATTCTTAAATTCTTGAATTTCATGATCTTTATTCACGGTGTTGGGTAGCGTCTGTTTAGAAAAACCGGACTGTAAGCTTTTACCGATTATCGGAAAAATAGATAAGGTTTTTAAACCTTAATTAACATTAGCTGAAGATATACATACACATCAAGTAAAGAAATATCAGGGTAATTATTTATTTTCTCTAAAAATATTTGTACACTCATTTGCATTAAAACCTCATTACTTTTAGATGGATATTCGACCAAACAACACGATCTATATTAACAATCTAAACGAAAAAGTAAAAAAGGATGAGCTAAAAAAATCCTTGTATGCAATATTCTCCCAATTCGGTCAAATTTTGGATATAGTTGCCTTAAAAACTTTAAAAATGAGAGGTCAAGCATTTGTAATCTTTAAAGAAATTCAGAGCTCTACCAATGCTCTTAGATCAATGCAAGGATTTCCATTTTATGATAAACCAATGGTATGTAGTTTTATTTTTAGTAGAGAAACATGTTTTCTGATTCTTCAAGGCAATTATCAGAAATACTGTTTCTATTATGCGACTGTTTTGCAACTATTTTAACTTTATTTCTTGTGCATTGCACTAGGCACATTTTTCTAATGTTCATTTTTAGCGTATTCAATATGCCAAACAGGATTCGGATGTTATATGTAAATTGAAAGGAACATTCCAAGAAAGACCTAAAAAGGTTAAGCCTCCAGTACCTAAAGATGAAGAGACACCAAGGAAGAAAAAGAAGAACAAGGACCCCAACAGGGTACCAGGTGGAGCTAACGCTGAGCAACCTCCTAACCAAATTCTTTTCCTTACAAATCTACCAGATGAGACTAGTGAGATGATGTTATCCATGTTGTTCAACCAGTAAGTGTTTCAAATAATTCACATGAATTCATGAGGCTTAACACAAATCTATATATTTGTAAAAAGCTGTTTTCACAACATGAAAGCACTTATAGTAATTCCAATATCACTTTTATATCAGACTGAAAGTGTAGACTATTGTCAAAGAATATAGAAGGATATTTCAAATGGGTGATTTGATCACTGTTATTATACTTCAAAACACTCCTGAAGAGGACTGCCTAAACTCTAACTGTGGTAGTTGGCTTAAAACCATATCATGAAAGATATAGTTAGGGAGAAGTGGGAAAGGAGTACCAACAGAGTTATTTAACTTATGCATCCATGCTTATTAAAATTGCGTTGCTATTAATTTGCATATTGTCTTTTTTTGTTCACAATAAAATCTTGATTCTTAATAGATTTGTTCGTAGTAGCGATTACAAACGGTTTGTGATTTGAAATACAGTGCGCATGTTCAGTTGGAAACTGTTTAGAATTAGTTTGTGATTTTGTGCTCTGTGAACACCTAAAATTTGATATTTTGCATTTGTCATTGTCGTTTGTCAAATCTCGAAATCTCCTTTTCTTATTTCTTAAGGCCTTATGACACTATGCATTTTCTTGTATAATTTCTTATATCGTTTCTGATATAGAAAGTTATTTATGTTTTCTTGTATCGTTTCTTTTACCAGAAATTGTATGTGATTTGGCACATGATTGGTCGAAATTTTGACACCTATAAAAATAGAACTGCAGTACCTGAGGACTCCAAGCTAAAGGTGACTGAGGACATATGCTACTGATTATTTTTTTAAATACTGTGGTGTAAAAATTAAAGAAATAAAATGTCCCTATATTAAAACTAAATTGGAAACCAAAATTTTTGAAGATATTCAACAGGCTGTAATGGAAGACAGAGATAATAATTTGGTTGTAATAATTTATTTGTTTTTTTTTTTTAATTATGTGTTTGAATGGCATGCTCTTGAAATTCTACTCTCTTATTTGGAGATATAAAATAATCTTTAAACTCATCACTAATTTTTAGAGCGGTTATGTATTGTTTTTAGTAAAACATCTCCTCCTACTTTCAGTAGTTCCGATGCTATTTGATCCAATCCTGTGATTTATTATTTTTCAATTTGGCTACTGATGTACTAATTTTGGTTACTGTTGGTGGGCACTTTTCTCTGATGTCTGCTTGGTCTAATTGTATATCAAAGTTCTCCTCCAGCCCAATATGACAGAAGTTTTACGTTTTTGCGTACAAATTGGCGCATTTCTTATACAAGAAAATGCAGCGGACACAAATTCTTGTATAGTTTCTGATATAAGAAACTATACGCTTGTATTGATTTTATTAGTTTGATTATAGTTTTCTTAGTATATTTTATTTTTTAGTTATACCTATATAGTTGTTATAACAACCCAACGTTTGTTTTGTGGTTATAAAATAGATTTATACAACAACAACACCTCTGTGCATGTCGCTGATTTTTAGTCCGCACAATCGTTGGGGATTTTAACAACCCCCAATTATATAAGACATATAAGAATAAATGAATAAATGATTAGTTTCAAAAATGAAACCAAATGTTAACTTAGTGTTTAATTACTACATTATATTCAAGTAAATACTTAAGTAATATTTTTTCATTATATATTAAACATAGGTACTACCATCATTTTTTAAAATAAATGTTACAGAGCTAATCATGTGTAACACTGTGTGGTACTTTATAGTGTGTCATGTGTATTGATACCAAGACAATAAACTGTCATGACACAGTAACACTGTTGTAACACCCGAGTGTCCCCTAGCAATGCAATTCACTGCAATAGTTTGATTTGATACAAGATACAACAAAAAGAGATAGGACATGAAGGGTATCTGTTAAAGTTTTCTCATCTCACCGAAATGACAGTGTCTTTCAACTGCATGACTATTTTGTATTTTACCTGGTTGCCTCATTTTGTATATTTTTACAGGTAATTTTAAATCTTAAAAAATAAATTTGAATATATTTCTGTTTATACAGATAAAATAACTAATAAAGAAAAAACTTCTATGAGTATGACTATGACTGTATTATAAAACAATAAATAAACAAAATTTCAAGTCTAGGTCCATACAACAAAACAAAAAATTATATTAAAATTGTTATTTTTTAAATATTGTTTAAATTTGTTATTGTTTAAATTATTGTTAACTTAAAAATCAGTGGAGAGATATTAAATACTAAAGAAAAAATAAAAGATACCTACATAAAAAAATCAAAATCTAGGTTAATGCAACAAAATAAAAATTTTAAAGTAAAAAATATACACCTACTTATTTGTTATTGTTTAAGTTATAACTTAAAAAAATCACTTGAGAGATTTTATCTGTCTTTAATCTCTGTTGCTTTTCGTTGACTATCTGTCCGGCTTTAGAAATATCCTTTAACACGGGACAGATGTAGCCATAATACAAAGCCTAGTCTTCTTAATTTGATTTGGGTAAAAACTTAAGTAATTCATTTATATATATATATATATATATATATATATATATATATATATATATATATATATATATATATTGTAGTCTTATTTGAATTTCGCGCCATTGACAGATCTGATTGTCACTCAATTTGAAAAAAAAAGAGGATAACCACACTTTATGTTTAGACTTGACACTTGTGATTATGAATTATGGCCATCTGAATGTTATGAAAACTATTATGTCGAATTATGTACAATTAGTGTTGCTTTCCGCTAAATAAACTTAAGAAAACTAGAACAATATTATTTATTAACGGAGCCTACAGAATCAGAAGTGGGATTACGTGGATCGCCGATATTTTTGCAGATTTAAAAATTGTGTTTAGTATTGACGATAGCCATGCCGGGATCAGACACCGAAATTGAAAATACAAGTGGAAACACCGTCGCTCAGGCGAGTATAGCTGAAATTGTTCATACAGCGGTACAGGCAATCCTCGATTATGAAGAGAAAAAGAAAATTGCCGGTCCAGAAAATCAGATGCCGACACATAACCCCATAAAAATTACTAACAGTGAATTATCAAATTTAATGCCGGAATTTTCAGGCACAGACAAAAGCCAGAATGTTGCAATATGGTTAGAAAGAATAGAAAAAATCAAAACTGTGTATAATGTTCCAACTGATATTTTACAACTGCTAGTCATTGGAAAATTGACCGGAAAAGCGAAGGAATGGTACCTCAGCAAACCAAATTTAATTTCCACAGATTGGACAGGTTTAAAAAATGAAATTAGGAGAATGTATGGGAGAACTTATGATCCAGTGTCGTCGAGAAGAAAGATGGAGACTAGAAGGTGGAAAAAGAGTGAAAGCTTTTCAGCATATTTCCATGACAAACTGTTACTGGGCAACGAAGCAGGAGTTGAGGATGAAGATATGATACATTATCTGATTGATGGGTTTGATGATCGCCTACTTCAAAATCAAGCCAAAATGATGTTATCCACACTCAATAGCACTGAAGATTTATATAAATTAATGGGGAGTGTTGTTAAAGATGAGGTATCAGGAAGTGGACAAAGGTTTGCTACAGCATCAAGTTATAGGGTAAGTTCTAGCCAGAACCAACCTCATACAGCAACACAGGGTCGGATGCCAGTTCCTGTAAAATGCTTTAATTGTGGTCGTACCGGACACAAAGTGACAGAGTGCAGACAAGCCAAGCGTGATAGGGGATCATGTTTTAGATGTGGAAGCAAAGATCATATGGTAAGAGACTGTCCTAATAGAAACCAGCAAGTGGTGCAACAAGTTGCAGATTCAACTACCCGAGATAGTAATGGAGCCATGGGTCTAGTGGAACGTCCTATGAGCCAAACGGATCCTTTTGTATTAAACCTGGTTCTAGATAAGTATAGCATAACATTAAATGGTATAATAGATACAGGGAGTCCAATATCACTGATATCAGAAAATTTTGTAAAGGCAGAAGATATTATTTCTTCTACTAATATTGAATCTTATTCAGGTATAAATAAATCTCCTTTAAAAGTGTTAGGGTTTTTTTATGACACAGTTATTTTTGATGACATATCAGTAAATTTAAAATTTTATGTTGTTGAGAAAGATTCTTTTAGTTGGAATCTACTTTTGGGTCGAGATTTTATAAACAATGAATCCATAGAAAATATAAGTTTTTCAAATGGTTCTTTTAAAATAAATAAAAACTCTTGTGTACAAACAGAGGAGGACTATCAGTTTCCTTTTACAGATGTTTTGTTTATTAACGATATGGTAAATTTAGATGCAGACTTGAATATTAATTATTGTTTACCTTTTGAAATAACTACTAGTGTTCAAACTTTATTGAAGTCATATTACTTTGATTATGATAAACCATTAAAACCACAGTGTGATTTCAAAGCACAGCTTACTTTAACTAAAAATGAACCTTTTAGTATCAGACCACGTAGACTATCTTATGCAGAGAAAAAGTCATTGGATGAAATTCTTGCTAATTTATTAGAAAATAATGTCATTAGGGAAAGTGATTCACCTTTCTGTTCACCAGTAGTATTAACCAAGAAGAAGTCAAATGAATATCGAATGTGTGTAGACTATCGTACTTTAAATAAATATCTTATTAGAGATCAATTTCCCTTGCCGCTAATAGATGATCATTTAGACAGGTTAAAGAATAAGAAATATTTCTCTAAATTGGATTTGAAAAATGCTTTTTACCATGTTCCTTTAGATGAAAGTTGTACTAAGTATACTTCATTCGTTACACCTTCAGGTCAGTATGAATTTCTTAAATTACCTTTTGGTTTGAGCTCAAGTCCCTCTATTTTTGCAAGGTTTGTTAATAAAATTTTTAAAGATTTGTGCCAACAAGGAAATGTTTTAATATATTTTGATGACATATTAATTGCTACTCAGACTATCGAAGAAAATCTAGAAGTGTTAAGAGAAGTTTTAATATTAGTTAGCCAGAATTTACTTGAGTTAAGACTAGATAAATGTTCATTTT